GGCTATCCCTAGTGTCTATGTACCCACCCTACCACACCCTAGACCATTCCATACAACACCATACTCATGAATATACTAGCCCCTGAACACTATACATGTACTACAGGCTATCCCTAGGTTCTATGTACCCACCCTACCCCACCCCATACAACACCACACTCATGATTATACCAACTCCTGAACACTGTACTACAGGCTATCCCTAGGTTCTATGTACCCACACCTTATCGTATCCCACCTTACTATTTATAACTGAAATCGCTAGGCTATAGATCTAACCCTAATTGAACAATACCACACTCCAGGCTAATTACTCCACACTACCCCATGGCTATCCCACAATTCCCATTATTAAACTTACAGATTGTGAGGTGCTAACATTTGCTTGAGCAGAATCCAACCCCAACTGATTCATCAACCCTTGAACAATTTGCTGCAAAAAATAGTAAATGGAATTATTTAGTATAATTAGAAACAATATAAAACCTGTGCGCATGTTTGCTGGGAGCTGTAAAGCAAGAAAGAATCAACCTTAGGAACACAAGGCGTAGCCGAAGTCTTTTCAAAGGCATAAAGTGTAAGGAATAAAAAATACCAAAAATACTAGTCCAAAAAGCTATGAAAGGAAAAGAGTCCGTGAGTTAGCCATGCCCTGGCTTTAATCAGCCTAGAGGTTCTTTCGGGGTATTGTAGTACAAAATTTAATAATTAAATAATAATAATAATAAATTGATAATTAATAATTTAATAATAATAACCTGTGAAATGTTTATAACCTCTGTAGGATGATTGAATGTGGAGGAAAAACCATGGCCATCTCCTGTTTGCTCTGTGCCGTGGCGTGATGTCGATTGACTGGAACCATCTCCATCTATGAAAACCCAAAACTAATCTATTTCAGTTCTGCATATGATTAGTAAATTCAAGTAAAGGGTCTATATGCCATTCTCTTGAACATTGTTGCTTTGTTTACTAGTGATCCCATACTAGAAAAGATACCTGAATATGGATGTGACTTGAGGGCAGAATCTTATTAGGTGGTTTAAAGTGGGCTAACATTATGCCAAACTGGATGGGTATATTTTAGATAGCTTCCATGAAATCAGAAAGAGTACATGTATATAGTGTGCGTTTCATACCTGCCCTGGTGCTGGAGGGAGGCTTCCTTTCGACCAGATGAACAACACAACCATCCACACCTAATACATTAATTCAACATCAATTTYATTTTTGGTTTAACCAGAATAATTAAGGATTAAATTTTTAAGTATCTTTTTAAATTGCATATCACATCATTGAGACCATATTGGTGGTATTWAACAAAAGAGTTCTTAATCTATTGTTAATACTGCCAACACGGCCGTCATGTCTGTTATTTTTATATTGTGTGAGTCCTTGCAAACAATCAATTGCTTGGTTTCACTAGACATAATTTCCTGTCTCATGCAGAATGTTCAGCTGAATCACAAGTTTTCGATAGTATTCTTTCTGGTTGACATCACATGGTGGTCAGTGTTTGATCATGATTTGAAGCAGATAATGAGATTCAAAGACTTTTATCAGCTGATTGAAACCCATCAGAGCTTGAAATTATAATTCTTTCTGGTTGACAGCACAGGGTGGTCAGTGTTTGACCACCATTTGAGACAGATATAAATGAGATTCAAAGACTTTTGTGAGCTGAGCAGATTGAAACTCAGCAATACTCAAAATATATAAACTTACCATAACTTCCTAAACTTGAGGAATCTTGAAGAACCTTTCCTTTGAAAATGAGGCGCTGCCTTTCCGCTGGTATAGCCTAGAAAAATGTCAAATATCATCTATTCTTCAATGGATTTTGAGGCTACTGAAACAGCATGACACTAAGCATATAGAAAGTGAAACAGTATTGATAACAAAATAGATAAAATCAAGATAAGCATTTAATGGCAGCATTTCATGTGTGAAAAATGAGTAGAAAAATTTTTTTTTGAATTGTTGACTCATTGTAGATTTATTTTAGCATCAAGAAGATTCCTTAGAAGCACTTTATTCAAAACTCACTGATAAAACAATTGTACAAATACTTGAATTACATATTAGCAAGAGCCTTTGTCTTAGGGCACAATGTTTTAACATTTCTAAACTCTTGGGAATAGGATTCACTGCATGAGTATTAAATTAGTTAAAAAAATAAAGATATGCTATCACGGGATTGACACGCATTTTATTTTAAGCTTAAAGGATTCCTATTGCTGATCAACTAAGATATGGGCTAAATGTTGTACAATAAGCATGGTAGATGGTTTATAGGAGGATATAAATGGTTAGGAGGATATATAGATGGTCTACTTAAAGACTGCATGGTCAAAAGATCCACAGCAAAGACAACAGCAGCCTTTCCTATAACCTTTKTACTCGAATACTAAAGCATTTTATACATCCCCTAATAAGGAATAAAGAAAAGACGCTAGGAAGTAGACTGAATATTATAAAATATGCAACAGATTCTAGTACAAGTACGAGAAAGATTAATCATTCAAGCAAACTTACAACTTCCGACGCTATCTGCTTCTTGAAATCTTCAACCGATGCCTACAAAATAAATCCAAAGACAAAACCTACATTAGGAGTAAATAACAATGTAACTAAGGCCTCAAGAGAGCTAAAAAAGTGAAGAAAAATGCCTCCCTTGGAATATTTTGTTCGTTTAAAAAACGACGTTAATAAATTGACATTTTAACAGGACAAACTTTACCTCGTCATCGACGGTAAAAACACGCGTTTCAGCGTCCAATGTCTTCACCGTGACTTGCATCATATCAATTAGTATATATCCTACTAACAAATAATTTAAAATACCCTTAATAACTCAAAATATTTAAGAATTTTTAGACGAAAACTCTCAAATATTTCAACTCCGATTTCGACCTGACTAACCCACTCCCTCTCGTTCTGTTTAGAACGCTGGAGACTAAGCTAGTACTCATTCCCTTTAGTTCAATACCGACCGAGTAGGTCTGAGTATTTATAAACATGGCGGTAGCAGCCAAATACTTTCAGGTTCAATTTTTATTTGTTTTTTTATTCTTAATACCTTTGTGAAGCTATATATCGTGAATTGTTGGATAGAGAGTTTGTAATTCGTGTGTATTTTGGGATTTCAGGCACAGAGGTCTTTGTTGAATGAGTTTAGAAGGAGTTAATCAACATCAGCTGATGGTGGATTTTGGTCCAATGGAGTCTCCTTTTCTTCCATGGATGGACATCCCCGATAGTTTATTACTTCATATTTTATCTTTCCTTCCTCCTAAAGACGTTGTAATAGCCAGCAGAGTCTGTACAAAGTGGCATAGGACAGCCACGGACGAAATGCTTTGGAAAGAACTTTTTACCATTTTTTTTTGGTTCCACGGGTACAACGGGCAAGTGTTTCAAGCTCCCTTCATTTTCAAGTTCGTGGCTTCAGGAATTCCAGCGATTGTACAGCGAAACTCCCTTGATTGAGACTCAGGTACTTGAAGGTCACAGCGACGAAGTCCTTCATGTAGCTTTTTCTCACGATGGCAAACTGTTTGCATCAAGTTCCAAAGACTGCTTGGCAATTATTTGGGAGATAATTGACGGCGAAGTAAAAGTCAAGCGAACTTTAGACTTCAGGAAGTACAGGTGGGAGTATGTTCAGTTCTGCGAGTTCAGCAAAGATGATACTCTTCTTCTTGTTTCTGGGATTAACGAGAGAAGAAGGCTCAATTTCATGGGTAAGTTGGAACAGCCATCCTGGCATGCTAGGATTCTTGTAAAGTCTGTGTAAGGGAGAGGGGGTGGTATTTGAATAATCACTCTGGTGTCTGTTTATCTGTCTTTTCTTTCCTTGCTTCCTCACCAATTACTTGTTTCCTCCTTCTCTTTCATCCATCCACCCATTCATCTTCCACTTTCCCGATGAATATTCTGCCCTTCCTCCTAACACTCTGCCTACCTCCCTTATATCTACTCCCTCCCTTCACCCTTCCTTTACTCCTCCTTTCCTCCCTCCCTCCTTCCTCCCTTCCTTCCATCTATGCTTCTATCAACCCTTCCTCCCTTTCATCCCTTACACCTCCTTTCCTCCCTTCCCATTTTCCTTCCAACTATCCTTCTCTCGACCCTCCCTCCCTTCACCCTTCCTTTCCTCCTCCTTTCCTCCCTCCCTCCTTCCTCCCTTCCTTCCATCTATCCTTTTATCAACCTTCCTTCCCTTCCATCCTTCCTTTCCACTTCCTTTCCTCTTTCCTTCCTCCATTCCTTCTATCAACTATTCTATCTACTCTTTCCTTCTTTCCTTCTTTCCTTCTTTCCTTCGTTCCTTCGTTCCTTCGTTCCTTCTTTTCTTTCTTCCTTCCTTAACTTTAGTTTCTTCTAGGCTGAGGAGGGAGCTTTGCTATGCTGAAAATCTAATCTATAAGAATTTCAAGTGTGAAGGTTTCAGTATTTTTCTCCGGGAGACCTAATACAAAAATATTTTTTTTGCATTACAGAATAAAAATCATGAATAGCTCGGTTTTCATTGTCTTGCTGTCCATGATGATTATAGCATCCCAAGGAAACCCAAGATTTCAGTATTTTTCTCCGGGAGACCTAATACAATTTTTTTTTTTTTTGCATTACAGAATAAAAATCATGAATAGCTCGGTTTTCATTGTCTTGCTGTCCATGATGATTATAGCATCCCAAGGAAATCCACTTCCACCAGAACTTTGTTATCCAGACGAGACACCCGATGCCCTAACCAGCCCACAGGGTGAATGTATCTATCGTGGCAAAGAGTTCCTTCCTGGGCAAGTCATTAAAGATCATGGCTATCACTACAAGATTAAGTGTACATCATCTGGGCAAGTTGTGCACTGCCACAAAGCAATCAACTAGACTGAAAGACAAAGAAGTGGAGTGGGGAACGGAGATCTAGAAACTATAACTAGCCCTAATAAATGATAAGACATAATCTCTTGCGTAGGTCTACATTTTTGACACTCAAAATAAGTCGTTGTTTGTTCTCTTATCATATAAAATCTTTCCAAAATACATCTTTCTTCCATTTCCGACAATCTTTGAACGTAGTAGTTTGATATGAAAATGATAAACACAACTGATCTCCTTCCCACCTCACTTTCCCATAGTCATTTTTTCTCAGTGGTTGAGTCGTTATGAGATATATAAATACATAATAAAGATTTACTGAAAACAAGTCTTATTTGTTCTTCTCCATATTTCATTACTCGCGCATGGAATGAATGGAGTAGTGTGTAATCCTACAACTCGAGTCGTAGCGTGTAAATCAAGCCTACATCATCTCGCCTACGACAGACACGAGCGTGTTGTATACGATAGTTGTAGGCGAAAATCGTACCGTCTAAACCGGCCTTAAGACCTCTATTAACTATGTTAAAACATAGCATTACAGTTGCCACGCAGATCAAAAATGGAATAAGTATGTTAGGTTTCGTGCGTGTCAGAAATGGTTTCCCGGTTCTTAGGTTACATCTTATTCGTGTAGGAATCCAATTTATTATTCTGATTATTCAAGTATTTCCAAGATCTTTTAATAACAGTGCGCGGTTGTTTTTACTATCTTGGTAATATCTTATTAAGTAAATAACTATCAATTATTTTCCACTTTCAACAGTTCATGAGATGAAATAATCTTAAAATCGGTTCAAATTATTAATATTAATTTAATTGAAATTTTGGCTTGCGGACTGAACCAAGTTATATAAACAAACCTATATCGCGCTAGCTTGAGAGTATGAGAAACAATAATTTTATTTATCGAAAAAAGGGAGTTTATTATCTAATTTGTCACGTTCAGTGATAACCGTAAAAGCCTAAAGTATGCTAAAGATTGCCCTTAAACTGAAAAAAAATATTGATTTTTGGATCTAAGGAATTTTGAAAGAGATATATTGAAGCATCTTCTTCTTCCTAATCGGCAAGAAATGAAGAGAATACTGACGTACACATGAAAGACACAAGTGAACCTAAAGAAAGGAAAAAGAAATGAAACAAAACAAACTTGTTTATCGTGTCCTCAAACACTTCAAGCAAGCAAAAAATAGAGAAAGATGGAAGAAAACCATTTAGTTTAGCTTGGAGAATTATTAGGTTAAGTCCTAAGGACCGATTTAGGTCAGTTTAGTTTAAATCATTTATTCATGCCGTT